TCAAAATTTTAAATTTTCGTCCGAAAAGGTAAGGTCTGAAATATTTTGTGGCCCACACTATGGCAAGTAACTCTTTCTCTATTGTGCTGTAATTTTGTTCACTGTCGTTAAGGGTGCGAGATGCGTAACATACTGGTCTGTCAGATCCAATAGGGCCTTGGGAAAGTATTCCAGCTATTGCTACGTTTGATGCGTCGGTTGTCAAAATAAATTCTTTAGAGAAGTCAGGGTACTGTAAGACGGGGTCATTTGAAAGAAGCGTTTTACATTTTTCAAAACAGTTTGTATAATCGTGATCAAGGGTGATTTTCTTTCCTTTTTTCAGACAAGATGTAAGGGGTTTTGTAATACGGGCAAAATCTGGGATAAATTTTCGGTAATAACCGAGAAGGCCTAAGAACTGTTTTATTTCTTTGGGAGTTCTAGGGATAGGATATTTTTGTATGGCTGAAATTTTATCAGGGTTCGGTTTGATACCATCTTCACTGATAATATGACCCAGGTAGGCTGTTTCTTTTTTTAAAAATTCGGATTTGTCCATTTGGATTTTGAAGTTAGACTCTCTAAGTCTAAGAAAAACTTTTTCAAGGTTGGTCATATGCTCCTGAAGGGATGTGCTGAACACTATTATGTCGTCTAGGTACACGAGACAAATATCATTTTGAAGACCACGGAGGACATTGTCCATCACGCGCTGAAAAGTGGAGGGCGAGTTTTTTAGACCCATGGGCATTCGTAGGAACTCGAAATGTCCATGTTCTACGTTAAACGCTGTCTTAGAAATGTCCTGTGGGTCCATTTCGACTTGGTAGAACCCACTCGCTAAATCTAGAGTAGTAAAATAGTGGCATCTTCCTAACTTGTCAAGTACGTCGGTAATGTTCGGTATCGGGTATTTGTCGTCAATAGTTTTGTCATTTAACTTCCGAAAATCGACTACAAGGCGCCACTTCTGTTTACCAGAAGCGTCTGCCTTCTTGGGTACTACCCATATAAGAGAGCTCCAGGCAGAGTCGGAGGGTTGTATAATGCCTTGTTCCAACATCTTAGCTATCTGGTCTCTAACTTCTTGTCTGTGCACGAAAGGGTAGCGGTAACTCTTTGTGTGGTTGTTCGTCAGTCGTCCTAATACGATGTTTAATCTTGTTGGTAAAGGTCAGAGGTTCTCCTTCAATGTAAAATACGTCGGAATAACGAGAACAAAGTAAATTCAAATTAGCTGTCTCCTCGTCATTTAAGTGGTCGGTACGTAGTCGAGTTACGACGTCTTGTGCGCGTTCCGAAGTCTGTTCGGTACGCGTGCACTCAATATTAAAAATGTCAGCCTGCGCTGGTCGGTCGAGTGAGAATATTACGTCATTTGGAGAACTATTTTCAACTTCCAAGTAGCCTTTATTATTTTTGACAATTGTTAGGCACTCGTGGATCATACAATTACTAATAATTTGCTCTTTTACTAAAACTTCGCCGTCGGAGGCATTAATAGGGATTCTAATTATTTTTGATGTACCGGCCGGGATCATTTCCTCATAGTAATTTACATTACAAGAGTTATACATGCGGATAGGGTTACTAGAGGATTGCGTTAAAAGAATTTTATTTTTTAAATCAATTTTTGCCTCCCATTTTGTCAGTAAATCTAGACCTATAAGGCCGTCAAAGTAATTATGGAAGCGGTAAATGAACAACTTTATGTCATCTTTGTCATTGAATTCGGAAAAGGAGGGTAAAGTTATTGAGTAATCGTTCTTACTTATTGCATGCACATTAGTAACTTCGAAAGGGTCATAGTTGATAGGGAAATGAGCAAAATATCGTTCTACTGCTTCGGGACTAATAAATGATTGATTAGCACCGGTGTCTATCAAAAATTTAAGAGGAGGATTCGTAATTTGGATATATGGCAACTGTCTTTGTGACTGTAGATTTAGTTCTATTTTGGCTTTTGTAACTTCCGGTCTAACCGAAAATTTGGGTCAGTGCTAGTGCTGGGTTCAGCTTGACATTCATAACCATCAGTCAGCTGGTACCTATCAGTCAGTTCCGAGTACTGGTCGGCGCTATCGTATTGAATACTATGTTCGTGTTCCGCGTAACCTGTAACATAATCTTCACAGTCGGCATAGCCCGTGCCGTGATAGTATTCCGGCTCTGTATAGTAGCCGCTGTAATAAGAGTCAACTGTGTAGGGTGCACATTCATTTACATGCATTTCATGGGACTTGTTGAAACGATCATGGCCTAATGGAGGTAAAACTTTTGGAGTAAATGCCTGTACTCCACTCATGGGTTTATGGGTGCCGTATGGAAGGTTGTGTCTGGGTGGCAAACGGAATACGTTACTCCGTGGGTTGTAATTCGGTGGAAGTGCACGGAACATTTGCTGGGTTCTGGAGGGCATACGATTGTGTGCCTGTGGTTGCATATGATTGATTTTAAACGGTTGAGGGGGTTGATGCGGAGGCCGCTGTCCAAGAGGAGATGGCCAATTTGGAGTCTGAGGTTGGTAACTCGGACGAGGTGGGAGATGTCCTAGATTAGGTGAAGGCATGGTCACTTTAAAGTTTTGTGAAGAAACCTTAGAAGAATCTCGTTGTTGCAAATAAATAACATTCATTTCTTCTTGAACGTACTCAAGTGCCTTTTCTATGGTGTCGGGGCGCATACATCTCACACGCGACCCTAAGGGCTCTTTTAAACCTCGCACAAAGGCCTGCATAGCTACTTTTTTATAAAGGGACCTTTTAGCTTCTATAGTAGTACTAATATTCTCATGCAGGGACACATACGTCATTATGGTACTTAGTAACGTCTGACAGTGGTCGTAAAAGTCCTGAGGGGACCTGTTACCCTGTGTGGCTAACGAGAGGTCATTGTATAGGGTAGTCTCGTCACGTTGGTCCGAAAAATTATTAATTAGAGCAGTTCTAATGCCCACCCAACTATCGGGTATGCCATTAGAGTTTATAGTACATGAGGCTGTGCCTGTGATCTTATTTAAGATACCGTTTAACAGGCATAAATTGGATAATTCACTCCCTGGGGTATTGCTCATATATGTATGGACAATTTGGTCACATAATCGAATGAATCGTGTAAGTATATTAGGGTTACCATCGAAGTCCGGGACTAGGCGCAGAGCCTTATAAATTGAGTCCGGTTCGTGGGCCATTGTCCTTTCTTCAAATAAAGTGTCTAAATTAAAATCTAAATCTCTAAATGAATCTATCTCTTTCCGGCGAGTCTGGCGCGATGCAGGTTTCCGGGGTCCCGAATTTCTGGGATGAAAAATTTTGGAAGGATTTTAAGTTAGGGACTAAGGAAGCAAGCAACACAAGAACGATTCTAATGTACTCACATTAATTTCATCTCTGGTCTTCTTCCGGAATCGATTTCTTGATTCGCCTGGGCTGCAGCTCGTAGATTCTGGATTCTCAGCAGCGGTGCTTGATAGCTACCCGGGGAAGTCGCGAACGTGGTGCAGAGTTTGATGCGCGCTCGCGAACCGGCCCGCGAGAATCCTACCGACTGCGCCAATTAAGATAACTGCAGCCGAAGGTTCGAAAAAAAACCAAAACTTTTTATAACTAATTTAATTTTAAAGAAATAAAATTACAATATTAATTTCTAAGGATAGGTGACAATTGTACGAAGGTTGAACCAAAAGTGAGTTGACTGAGAAATTACGTTGTTCCGGTAAAACGCGACACGTGTGCTGATCCAGCGCCTCGTGATCGGTGCATTTGCTGTGCCTTCGTTCTGTAGAACTGTGGAGTCGGCGGCTTCCTTTGTACTGCGATATCTAACTAGATTTCTTTATTGTTTATCTATGTAATGACAGGAAAAGTAAACAACTGCTTATGGCATCATATAAGACCGATTGCATGTTGGCAAAAAAACGAAATGAAACGATCGGATAGATGTCTCGCCGTACATGGAGACGAAAGTTAAATTTATCATTTACGACGTTTAATATTACTGCGAAACAGAAGATATTTGTTATATGTTATATATACAGTTTCTGGAGTAATGTCGGTAGCTCTTTCTGTCGTTTCTACCAACGAAAATGACTATTTTTGTCTAATTTAAAGGTTATACATGAAAAATTATATGGATTTGAAATGTATTATGAATTTCTTTAATCGCGTGTACTATCAAAGTGTCACTTTTGGCCATTGACTTACAAATAAATGGACGACGGGTCTAATACAAAAACCACGAAAAAATGTCCCAAGTCAACCTATTTAAACGTAGTGACATGTAAAGGAATATGAAAAAGCTAAAACGTTGAATTTAAATTGTAATGTCATCGCAGTACTGTCTAATTTTGCTTGCTTCGCTGTCAGTCCAACAAACGAAGTCTAAAGCGTGAATGACGCTCTGTATACGATTTTAACGCCCTATAAGTTCGGACACTTTTTAGCGCGGACCAGGCGTCCATATAATTGTAAGTCAATGCTTTTGGCTGTAAATTTTGCTAAAATTGTAAAAGAACTTTAATTTCACGTTGCCAACGCCATCTAGTGGTTAAGAGATTTTATTATAAAACCGTGACACTCTGCTTAAAAATAAATGCTGCAAATGAAATATCTGCTTGCAAAATCTACGCTAGAGTTTCCTAAAAATTATTCTTCTGACGCTGGGGAAAATACTTTAAGAATGTGTTGTTAAATAAATTTGACAATTTCGAAACATAATTTGCTTGCTTACGAAGTCAAGATATTTTGAATTTGGAGCTGCGCCAGCAAGCGGAATGCTCTCGGAAGCGAATGTTTTAACCATATCATAATGAACTTAAAATATAAACTAGAAACGAGCGTCTTTCGGAGAATTCTCGCGCAGTCTCGGGAATTCCAGCAGCTACTTTATCATAGGATCTATTTTATATGTTACGCAATTAACATAACGTTGATTATGCTATGCACAATTTCATTACAAAAATTCGCCTCAAAATCAATATTTTTTAACAAAAGACATTAATTTAAAAAAAATATTAAAAAATAAAAACATTTAACGTCTAACGAAAGATATTTGCTTTTATAATGTTGCAAAATGGTGAAGATCAATTTTGAAGTATCAGCTTTTTTAGCATGGTATTCTTTCTGTGCTTTGAAAAACCATTTTTAGTGGGTTCTGCAACTAGACGGTGGTGTGTTCTTATGTTCTTTTGTTTTTGCGTATATGTGTTCCTGGATTTTGAGTTCTTGTAGTCTCTCTTGTCTGCTGAACCCTGCGTGTCAACGACTAGCTTCACGCCTTCAAACGGAATACATTATAAAGAACGAAGAATTGTTCCTAAAAATGTATATTTCTTACTATATAATATTAATAAAAAACTTTCAGGACGTCATCATGGGATCCGAAAGAAAACCTACCTGAGGATTACGCTCGTATCTTTCAGTTTGAGAACTACGATCGCTCTCGTCGACGGGTCTTCAAGGAACTCGAAGACAGTCTAGTGAATATGGTAATCTTTTTCTGTTAGTTTAGAAGAAATGTTTATTTTTGTGCCTTTGGTTATTAGGAGGAAGTGAACGGGGTGTCAGGAGCGTAGTTGGTTGACGTTTGGACCACAAGTAGTGATTAAGGAATGTTAAATAATTATTATATAAAAAAAGACCAAGACAAAGACACGACGCAAGGACATAGAAGAATTCGTGAGGTCCGTTGGTTCGTTCCGTGGCTTAGTTGGTATAGCGTCTGGCACGGTATGCAAGAAGACGTCATCGTCAGTTCGAATCCGACCGGATCGAAGGAATTTTTTCTGAGTGTTCGATCTTTGTATTAATAATGATAACAAACTAGTGGAGTAATTACACAAAAAATAATTGAATATCAATTCAATAAAAATTTAATTAATTATTATATAAATTTGTGAATATTGTGTTGAATACGTGACGTGACCGTTATTTTATCCCCTCAGAACAGGACGCCAGTAAATCTATTATTGTTTTAAAAATAAAACACATGTTTGTGATAATTACGAAATGTTTAACGATTAAAAATATTTTTAAAAGAGAAAACTAAACATTTCTCCGGATTTAAATCGCGTATATTTGTTTTTTCAAACAAACCAACGTTTTGGACCCTTTAAAACAAATATACGCGATTTCAATCCGGAAAAATAGTTTCATGTGTAACAATCGCGAAAACCTAAGAACTAAAAATGTTTAATGATCAAAAATTTTAAGAAAGAACTAATCTTACGTCGTCTGGTGTGCTGACTTTATGTATTTTTCGCTTTCGCCCCATTTAAAATAAATATTGTTAATTGTGTTATGTTTTGTCAAAGCGGGATATTTATAGTATTTTGGGGATAGCGGGAAACGAACTCAAAAGCGGAACTGTCCTGTTCAAAGCGGGACCTATGGTCACCTATAGATACGTGATAGATACGCGTATATCGTTGTCCTATATGGAATCCACGGATTAGTAATGAATGATCATTCGGATCATTCTAATACGAATATTTGTCATTGGAATGACAGGATTGGTAACTACTAATGAGTTGAATATCGAAAACATTCGCTATCGGGCATCGCTAAATTAGTTCTTGTTAAGAGGCGCAGAGCAAAAATTCCTAATCTTCGATTTGATTTTAGAGGCGTATATTGTATGAGTAACTACACGATATATTCAAGCATAGACATTAATCAGAAACATAAAACAATAAAGTTTCCTCGATACGTCATTTATAGATACGCTTAGGAATACACGGGAAGTTGTCAACCAACATTAGGCCAACTTAGAAACGTATATGGATTAGAGACGATGATGAGCCGGTTGTACATGAAAATAAAAATTGCTTAATTTAACTTCTGGCCACAGTCAATACCTCCATTGCCAGTGGCGTGATGAATGTATGCACATCACTTTTCGAACAAACATTTGTTTTTATGTAATTTTTACTACAAAGATCGAACACAAAGAAAATTTCTTCGATCAGACTCTCGGTTGGTAGAGCGGTCGCCCTGGTTTGGCAAAGAGGCAGGTTCAGGTGACAAGTCCTGTCAAATTGAAGGAATTTTTCTGTCTATTCGGTATTTGTATTAATAATTATAGATAGATAGATATTAATAATTAAAAAAAAAAGAAAATGATTATCATGGTAGTAAAACATTGTAATATTCATTACATTTAATATATGAATTATTAATTAATAGATTCAGGCGTTTGCGGAAGTCCATGTTAATAAAAATGGAGGTAAATTAACAGTGAAGGTTAAATCGTGCAAAATAGCTGCGCTTGTGTTGAAAATTTTTCCTCACAATTACTTATCTCTCCCTCCCTCCGCATAAAATTAATAAAATAAATAACACAAGCGCAACTACAGTCACAAACCAACACCAAAATTATACCCGACACGTGTTTCGCCTCAGCACGAAGCTTTTTCAGGGGCTCTTGACTGCTCGACGCTCGGCCGAAGTTTCTCTTCGGGATAATTAATATTATATGTAATAATAAGAATTAGTTTCTTCATTTTACTTACAAATGTGTATAAAATTGTGTTATTTTAAAAGAATCGTGATACAAATTCATGAGCTCAATTATTTTCTAGCTTGTTTACAACTTTTTGAAACATTGTAAATGTGAATTATATAAATAGTTTTTTTCCAGTATGGTTTCTACATAACAATCCATGTAAAAGATGTACGTCAAGACCTCTGGAAGGCTCATCAATCAGCAAATGCCAACGCCCCTCTCTCTGTGTTTGGCCTTCTACCTCACGAACACAAAATTTCGCTCATGAACGTCGTACTAAAGAGGACCGGCGTCAGTAACGAGCCTATTAAGAGCAAAGAAAGGCTGATATTCCAAGTCGGATACCGGAGATTCATTGTCAACCCTATTTTTAGTCAGCACACTAATGGTAGTAAACATAAGGTGAGTTTACGTTTACTGTGGACTATGTTTTAATTGTATCTGGATTTTGTTT